ACAATGGGCCAAACTGGGGACTATTCCTTGTTTGGCATGTCTTTCGGTATTCATTTCTTGGGCCACCGAATCGGAATGTGAGGTGAGCGTTCTATAACTTATAACATAAATTTTTCTTTTACCTTAAAAATCTTATCTAAATCGAACTACTACATCATAAAGCTTAATGTTAAAATTATAGAAAAATACACTTACCTCTTGATATTTAAATATGAACATGAACTCAAGATAGAACTGGCAAACTATGAAAATGTCTGAAAATCTTTAAAATGTCATAGGTTTTATTCCTATTTGTTCAAGTTGCCTCGCACTTTCTTTAGAAAAAGTACATATATATTTTCACCCGAAATATATATTTTAAGGTTTAATCGAGTTATAATATTTGGTCGAGAAAATGTGAGTCGCAGCCACTGTGGTAGGTTTCTTGTCAGTCTCGCATCGCCGTCGCTCGCATGGTTGCCCATCGGCACAACTTAACCTTTCTACTGCCGCCTGAATTCCCGGGTACTTGGCTTGGAAAGAAGGGCCTATATAAACTCAGGGGTATCGCCATAATTAAAATGTTTAATAGGCATCTTAAGAAATCATTTAACGCCGAATTTATGCGCGAAAGCGCCATTCCAGAATGACAGACTGTGTCTGGGAGAAGTAAGGGCGTTCCACAAAAACAGACTAACAATAGGTTGGTAATCTAATCAGCTTGGCTATAAAATTATAGACACGATTTCACTGGACATGGTCATGGGTTTGGACGTGCGTTTCTTGGAACCGGATGAGTCCTATTAAGGAACGCTTAGAAATGCAAATGCGATGGTTAATGAAACTCCAAACAGTGGCTTGTTCTCTGAGTGGCTGCGGTTGAAAGGGCAGGGGGATGGCTCCGGAAGAATAAATCCAGCAGGCAGATATAACTAATTTTTCAGCTGACTTAACACCCAAAAACATGCGTTTTTTGTTCGATCGATTTTTGACCGACATTGCTTGCAATTCTAGTCATAACAAAACCAAACACACAAAACTTAAATGCAAATAATTATTGTATACGTTTAGGCAGACGCCAGCCGAGCCCTAGAATCGAATTATCGCCCCGGGACGTCGTCGTCGGTTCAGCAAGGGAAGGAAAGGGGACGGGGGATGGGGTTAGGATTAGGGGCCAGGACTACTCGAAGCGCTCTCACGGTGCCCAGCAGCGAAATTGTTGCCATCGCCGCTAATGGGGTGGTAGAAGGGGATAGATGACGTTGTTCCGGCGGACCGTCTGGGAAATCCGCTCTTGTTGTTTCTGGTATACTTATACGTGTGTAATCTGAAGAGCTGGGCACAGCGGGTGGCTCTTGGAACCTCATCGCTCTCACGTTACAAAACGTGGCCGCCCCGTCCACGTTCCCGAGCTGAGTTCCCCTGCTCCCTTTTACATACACGTTCGCGGCATTATCGCAGCGTCCAGCCGGGTCGCACGTCGGTTTACACTTCAACGTGTGTAGGGCAGCTCTTCCGCCTTACAAACAGAGCTGCCGCACTCCGCAGCTTCAGCCCGGACTTCAGTCTCGGGCCTATCGATGGTCGGCAAGTGGCGGTGAGTGGCGGAGCGGCGCAGCACTTAGCCACGATTCGAAAGCATATCAGAGCTCTGCAGTTTTAATCTCTTTGCTAGATCTCAGTGAAGACTTGACTTTTAGCTGTTGTTGAGGAACTGCACGGTGAAAATATTGCTTGTGCATACTCAGAAACTTGCTCATCTTATTTTCTTTATTTACCCTGTTCCATTGATTCCACAGAAGAGTTATATTAAAATTAATTTGATTGTAGACTATTTTTTATAAAATTAAAATATGATATAGTGTTAAAATGTTCTGAGGACCAGACTATGGGCAAGAGATTTCCTTAAAGGTCCACGCCTCCCAAACGTCAGGAGAACAAATAAGGCTACCAGTTGAGGGAACATGGCTTCTTATGCATGAGATCGGCAGCATCTAGAAGTATAAACATGAAATAAAGCAAATTAGTACTAAAACAAATCGATAACGCTGCGGCCAATATGGAATACGGATGACTCAATCAAGGATTCTTAACAAATTTACATTAATGAGGAGTTTTTAATCCGGCAATATTATTCAAGAGAGCCTTTTATGTTCTTAGTCACAAGATGCCACGAATACTATATAAATTCTTTATATACATTCATTCAATCTATTCGTGATAGGAAGTTGCCTTTCAAAAGCTGAATTTCATATTTTTTCTTTATTATAAATATTATTATTATATAAAATTACTGATCACTTATATGACAGCTATATAAAAAATTGGCTGGTTTAGTTCTTATAGCTCTTATAGAGCTTACAGAGCGACAGATATGGCTAATGTTGCGCCTGAATATAGGTATTTATATACTTTGCAGGGTCGTAGATGATTCATTCTGCCTATTATTGTAAATGCATTCTTAATTGGCACTAGGTTGTAGTACTGGCTGTGACAATCAAACGCCTAAGAAAATTGTTTCTGGGGATACATTTCCAAAACAACCTCCCTATAATGCACATGAGCTGCTTTGTAAAATATTAGCAGGCGTTATATGACGATTTAGAGTTCCAACATTATAATAGTCAAAGTTATACAAAAAGAACCTTTTCGAGGCGTCAAAGGAAATGGTGCAAATTTGATTCGGAGCACGACAGGAAGATAAACTAAAAGAGGACTGGAAACGGGAACGGGATCGGGAAGGGGAACCTGGGACCGGTGACCGGGGAGCGGAGCCACCAGAATGTGTGTAAGAGTATCAGATTTCGAGCGCTTAAAAACATTCTCATATATTAGACGTTGTCACTTTGACATTTCGCCTGCTCTTTTACATGGCAATAATCATAATTCATTTTTCTCGCGCTCTCTCCCCCGCTCTTCGAGGAGATAAGGGGCGTGTCACGGCGCTGGAGGTGGAAGGGGCGGAACGAACTCAACTCCGCCGAAACAGCGGTCTGTAGTAATTTTATGAGTTGGTAGCTGCGACCGCTTCTTCTGCATGTTTAATATTATTTATGGGATTTACGTCCCGCAAAGCAGCCAAGATACATACATATGTATGTATGTACATATGTACAAGGGCACTTCTGCTTAGGGCTTGACTGCAGACGGAACCCGAGCGAGAGATCGGGCGAAAGCCGCAGAAGCCGCGTTTCGTGTACCGACAAGATGTGCGAAATTGCGATGTGACGAAAATCTCGACGTCGCTTTCAAAATAATTTCAACAAAATGACAACACAGATGCAGAGCGGATCTGGAACGCGATCGGGAAAGGCGAGGCGGCACTGATGGGATACGGGATGGAAAAGTCTCTAAGAGTGTGCTCCCTATGAATATGATAAAGGCATGTGGAATGAAAATTGCCTCGGTGTCGACCGGCTGCCCCTTAAGGCTGTTTATTTTTGCCCAAATCCACCCTAGCACTTTGCAATGTGAGAATTAGTCTGTTGAGAGAGGCTAAAACTGCAGTATGCGCCAATTATTTTGATTAATGTCAAAGAAATCGCGTGTCCCGCGCATTTGATGTTGGTCCTCGTCCGTTTCCCGGCAGCCAGGAATAAGGTCTTGCGCACTTTCCCCAAGCTGCGGTTGGCTGGTTTGTTTCTGGCACGAAACCATCGGACTCCCCAGTGATTACGGAGCGATGCTGGTAATCTTTGATCTGTCATTTGCGAAAATAACAAGTAAGAAAACTACAATCGACTACGGTATACCCGGTACCCTAAGTGGTATGTGTGTTTTTATGGTTTGGAGTTTGATTCGGGCAACTCTCCAGAAAGGTAAACGGCAGACAGAAAATACTAATAATTTATTTATTTATTTACGATTCTTTAAAGTTTGGTTATATTTAAAACATTTTAGGTATATCATATACCGATGTAATCACATATAAAGCTCAAATCACATTATTAGGAAATAATGTAAAACGTTGACATAAAAATCTTTGATTCCGTTTTGCTGAACATTTTTAACAACTTTTCAAAAAGTAACTGTCTTTGTCCGGTGCAAATGCCTACGAATTTTGGGATTATCTTAAAAAATAAATATTTTTATTTATTTAATTCTTTATTTGTAAAAGAAAGGTCTAATAAATGCCCTAATAATTTATAGAACATACCCTTACCTCTGACCGAATATGGAGGGTTTTTAACGATATCCGACACACATTCGGTGGGCAGAGGCAAGGTCAGGTGTCTTAAAATATTATGAACATTAAAGTCAAAGGACGGCGAACATTAAACTATCGTTTGAATGTGATGTGATAGCCTTGCAGGGACCTAGGGTCTTGTTTGACTTGGTAAATAACAAGAAATATTGCCCAACATCTATATAAGCAAACATTATAGTTCTAATTGTCCATTAGAAGATCACAATGTAACCTCATTTGGTAGGTTTTCTACAGTCTCTAGGATCTGTTGATTATAAAAACAAGATAGATCGCTACAGACAAATGTTTGAACAAAAAAGCGCAACATTTAAAATTGTTACACTAGTAGGGCAAAATTTGAAACGAAGTCTATCAGCATGCACTTACACAAGACGAAGGTGGCTAAATCTTCCACATTGTTGATGATCAACAATTTTTTTCATATCGAAAACTTTTGTCTCCTGACTCACACTTTTCAACAAAACGAGTATACCCTTACAAGCTTTGAGTTTCGCTCAGCTTTAAAATCACCCAGCAAAGGATTGAATTCGAGCCAAGGTGTAGACGGTCTTCATTATACGATGACTATGAAGATGAAGATGAGTAGGCGTTTACTGGCCGCTAGTTGGAGGCCTCATGATTATCGACAGGGCCGACTGACAGTAGCTGGTAGCTTCCTGCCAAACATGTGATTAGTGAGACTTGTGGGAAGCCCGACACAAAGCACGGCATGAGTTAAGCTCACTACTCCACACCAAATGATTGAGCTTGCTTGGATTTTGCTGCTGCTTCTATGCGCCGATTGATAAAAGACAATCATTATTTCCGTTTGCAGTTTTTTTGGTACTCGCCGCTGCTCCCGCTGCCTGGCCTCGATCAGCTCCACCGAGTTAGTGATGCGCGCCCGAAACCTGGTCTTTCACGTCAACTGCTTCTGCTGCACGGTCTGTCACACGCCCCTGACGAAGGGCGACCAGTACGGCATCATCGATTCCCTTATATACTGCAGGTAAGTGTCAAGAGTAATCCGATTTTTGCAAGTTAAACACTACCAGTCATCACCCGTAGGACCCACTACAGCATAGCGAGGGAAGGCGATGCCGCTTCTTCCAGCATGAGCGCCACCTATCCGTACAGCGCCCAGTTTGGGTCGCCGCACAACGACTCTTCGAGCCCACACTCGGACCCCAGTCGGAGCATTGTTCCTACAGGCATTTTTGTGCCCGCGTCTCACGTCATCACCGGCCTGCCACAGCCGGCGCGTCAGAAGGGCAGGCCTCGCAAGCGCAAGCCCAAGGACATCGAGGCGTTCACCGCCAATATAGGTAGGTTGTAAATTCCCAGTACATTTGCGACGCAACTGCGGATCATAAAAATGGCCAGCGTGTAGTTCAGGTCTTTATGGCTACAGTGGGTTCGGCGGTGCTGGAGTCGGCACTGAAGCTGGATATTGGCGCCATTGAAGCTGCAGCACCAGTTTTTATGTGCCTAAATCGTAAAACTCCAGAGGTGCAGTAAAAACAGCAAGACTTACACGAGCCTTTGGATTGATTGCAGATCTCAACACCGAATACGTGGACTTCGGCCGCGGTTCGCACATGAGCTCCTCGTCGCGCACCAAGCGAATGCGTACATCCTTCAAGCATCACCAGCTACGCACCATGAAGTCCTACTTTGCAATCAATCACAACCCTGATGCCAAGGATCTGAAGCAATTGTCGCAGAAAACTGGTTTACCAAAGAGAGTCCTGCAGGTGAGTGTGGTCAGCCGCCAAAATAAATTGCAGCCGCTCACCGGAATTTGTCGGTTCCCCTCAGGTCTGGTTTCAAAATGCTAGGGCCAAGTGGCGCCGAATGATGATGAAGCAGGACGGCAGCGGTATGATGGAGAAGGGTGACGGCGGACTGGACCTCGAAAGCATCTCGGTACACAGCCCAACATCGTTCATACTGGGCGGTCCAAACAGTACTCCGCCCCATAATCTAGACTAACAGTTGCTCACGGGAAGCGGAGCCGGAATCAAAAGCGAAACAAACGTCGGTAGCAGACAAGAAGCTGGCAAAAACTTGCATATCCTATGCGCAAGCACCGGTTGTCCTTACCTGTATTCCAGTCAGTGTGACGGATCCGACTCCAGAGACAGCTTTGGAAAGGAACCGAACCGATATAGTTGCACTCCATGCAAATAATCGATGCCTACTTATGTATAACGTCTAGGGAATGCTGTTAGGCATGGTACATATACATTTGTATAGCTGAATCAATGCGTATTAGTTATGTGTTTCGGCAATCGCTTGATTGTCGTTATGCCAGAACTTCAGCTTGACTGTGTTCAAAGCATCACTTCTTTGAAGCATCACTAGTGCTTCTCCCTTCCGTGTTAACATTCATTTGTAAATATGTAATGGACCCTAACCTTGTGTACTTGCGTAGCAGCCGATATTGTTAATTTATTATTATTTATAAAACTCAAATAATTATGTATGTATATAACATTACGTAACATGCATATACATATTGATATGTATTTAATATTTATTGCCCAAATTTAATAGTTAGAGAAGAATTTTGTTTAGAGAACCCTCTCTATATAATATAGTGCATATGAATATGTATGTAGTATTATGGTGCATTAATTGCTTCGCCGCTGCTGACAAATAGAGATCCAAGCGCTTAAAAACGAAAATGTCATTTAGCTGTTAGCAATGACGAATAATCGAAGCAATGAACACAGAAAGATTTGTACTTACAAATAGTTTAACCATAAGTCGTACCATAGAAGCCAAATAAAAATTATTAAAACAATTAAAGCTTACGTTGCGATTTTCTCTTATTCAAACCTACTCTTTTGTAACTAAGAAACACAAGAAAACCTTTCCTAAGGAATATTAATTATGTATATATATTATTAGTCGGATCTGGAACCAAGTTTTTGGAAATAATAGGGTCTTCCCAAAGAGCCACATCTGCATCCCTCATCCGTTGAACGGATGGGCCGCAAGGTTTAACCGTTCCGATAGACAATTCTTCGACCAATCACCACGAAAATGTAAAGAAAAATGGGGAGGAACAATTAAAATATGGAATTTGAAACGTGGCGCCACAGCTACACAGCTACAATGTTTTCCTGTATGTTTTGTTATGACCAAATTAGCTCTTCGAGTCGTGGGTTCTCAACCCGGCCCACAGATTCACGTAACAGATCAAAATTCGATTATAAATTACGTCTTTAATGCCAACTCACTAACAAAATAATAAGGTAGTTAAATAGGCAAAATATCAAAAAGAATGCCAAAAAAAAATGTTAATTCAGCTGGATGACCCGGCTATTAAAGTTTTTGGAGAGCTCAACGAAAATATCAATGCCGAAGTAGAAGAGATAAGGAAATCATTTTGAATTGGCAAATTGTTAATGGCTTCTAGGTTACTTTAGGCGTAGCCTTACAAATGCCACGTGTTTGTGAAGATGTTTCAGCAATTACGCTAAACACTTTTCCGTCGATCATTGTCAGCTCTAATTTGTGGTTAACTTGAAACCTGCTCAATCTCGTAGGCACAATTCGAGAAATTTGCGCCTGTATGTTCTCTATTTCGACTCTTACCAACTCAGTAGACTCTTTTGCAAGCATTATTTTAAGAGGTCTACAGTAACGAGTCGATGATGGGCGAGGATTCTGCCAAAGAATGGCATTACCAAATTTCAGTTGCAAAGGCACAACACAAATAAAAAACACATGTTCATCTGCCATTTTAAGGAGTGGATCCATGAAGCTTTGGCGGCATGTCTCAGAGTAGATGAAAATACGTTGAAAAGCACCGAAGTTAAAAATTGTTTTCCTATTAATTTCCCGATCGTTCCTATGGCAGCTATAAGATATAGTCGTCCGATTTTCATAAAATTTTTACCAAAATTCTGGAATAATAGAAAATTGCATCCCAAAAATGATGCAAAAATTTTGAAAAACAGTCAAGTTATATTTTTTTTTTCTAAAAATTTATCGAACATTTGTATGGCAGCTATATGATATAGTCGTCCGATCCGGCCCGAAATATATAGCAGTGACAGTATATAGAAGACTATATGCACAGTTTCATTCAGATAACTTTAAAACTGAGGGACTAGTTTGCGTAGAAACGGACAGACGGACGGACGGACAGACGGACATGGCTAGATCGACTCGGCTGTTGATGCTGATCAATAATATATATACTTTAGAGGATCGGAAAGGTCTCCTTCACTGCGTTGCAAAGTTCTGACTGAAATTATAATACTCTGCAAGGGTATAACAAGAAAGGAAGCTAACTTTGGCACGCCGAAGTTTGTATACCCTTTCAGATTGCAATTAAATCATTAAGAATCGAGCCATGCTAGTTAAATAATTAAAAAACTAAATTAAATAAAATATATAAAAGTTGTATATTGATACATCGCATATAATAATTTGGTTTTCATATTTATATTATAAATTTAAATGATGAAAACACAAACGAAACAGAGTTTCATAACATTTTACCTATACTTATTATGTTTACAGTTTTCAGTTACAGTTACGATCGTTTCTATGGCAGCTATGTATATAATATAGTTGTCCGATTTTTATGAAATTGGTATACCAAAATTATAAAATAATAAAAAAAATCGTATATCAGAGTAGATAAAAATACGTTAAAAAACAACGAAGGTATAATTTTTTTCCTATTAATTTCCCGATCGTTCCTATGGCAGCTATATCGTCCGATTTTCATAAAAAAACAGCAAAGTTATAATTTTTTTATATACTTATATATACTATATAGGGTCGGAAAGGTCTCCTGCACTGCGTTGCATTCTTCTGACTGAAATTATAATACCCTGCAAGGGTATAAAAAGCTTCTTAACCCACGTCACGTGGGTTTATGAATGGCATAGAGTGGTCTTCTCCGACGAAAAGATTTAATTTAGAAGGACCGGTCGGATATATGTAGGTAGGGGAGAGTGGGGTTAGGTGAACCATGGGGATAGATGAACCACTACAAATACTTCACCTTCTGTCATGATTTTGTGAGCCATCTATATGTGTGTTGCTTACTTAGTCGTCAAACGATTGTTGTCGTTTTTATCGCTAATCGAAGTTTGTATTCGCCGTTTGCAGCTTCAATTGTGACCTAACGTTTTCTTGGAAAAATTTTATAGTGCTTCGCCAGTGGCATTAAACTTCATAAAACTGTATTTTATCGTAAGAGGACGCAAATTATGATATTTCCACGGATACCTCACACAGTTTAAATATTTCGTGTTTTCTTCAAATCACTTCTAATTGGCTAATGACTTGTGGGGATACATGAACCAGTACTTATGGGGATACATGAACCACCTTTCCAAATTTGATTTTCTAAATTTTCCATCGCAGGCTGCCAAAATGGTGAGAAACTACAAACAAAATATCAAATCAGGTTTTGAAAAGAGTGGAATTTTTCCCTTCAACCCACAAAAGTTTTCTGCATCTGACTTTCAGAGACATGAACACAGAAAACACTCACAATCATAATTCTCAACAAATGGCAATCGTACAAGATGAAAATGTGCTCCTGAACACTCCTGCGAGGAACAATAACTCAGTCGAGTCCGCAATGTCTCCCAATATTGACCTGGATGACGTTCTTTTTACGATCAGAATGCATGGGTTCTTGCCAGGAAAATCGCCAGAGGACTTACGAGGGTACCCAAAGGCTAAACCACGAAAACAGACGACTCGGGGAAGAAAACGAGGAAGGAGTATCATTGCTACGGACTCACCGCAGAAAAATTGATCGCGGAAAAACACAATCAGAAAACTCAAAAAAAAAACCTTCGAAAAAAGAAAGGAAGCTAACTTCGGCACGCCGAAGTTTGTATACCCTTGCAGATATTATTTCATTACATTTTACCTATACTTATTACGTTTACAGTTTGACAGTTACAGTTTTACATTCACACCTTTACATTTTCTCTACATCTACCGATCGCTCCTATGGCAGCTATATGATATAGTTGTCCGATTTTCATGAAATTTATACCAAAATTCTAGAATAATAAAATAAGCTTATATCTCAGAGAAGATGAAAATACGTTGAAAAACAACGAAGTTATAATTTGTTTTCTATTAATTTCCCGATCGTTTCTATGGCAGCTATACGATATAGTCGTCCGATTTTCATAAAATTTTTACCAAAATTCAGAAATAATATAAAATGACCATATCTAAAAAATGGTGCAAAAATGTTGGAAAACAGCAAAGTTATCTTTTTTTTTCTAAAAATTTATCGAACATTTGTATGGCAGCTATATGATATAGTCGTCCGATCCGGCCCGTTCCGACATATATAGCAGTGAGAGCATATAGAAGACTATATGCAAAGTTTCATTCAGATAGCTTTAAAACTGAGGGACTAGTTTGCGTAGAAACAGACAGACAGACAGACGGACAGACGGACAGACGGACAGACGGACAGACGGACAGACGGACAGACGGACATGGCTATATCGACTCGGCTGTTGATGCTGATCAAGAATATATATACTTTTTAGGGTCGGAAACGTCTCCTTCACTGCGTTGCAAACTTCTGACTGAAATTATAATACCCTGCAAGGGTATAAAAATAAGAATAAATAGCAATATTGTAATGTTTGATTTCATGCTGTAAAGGTGCAATGTTTATATTCGAACAGAAAGAAGGCAAGCACAAAGAAAAAAATTACACTTTTTTTATACAATTGTAGTTTTTGTGTTATCCTGATAGGTGGTTCAACTATCCCCATAGGGTGGTTCAGGTATCCCCACCCGTGGTGATACCTGAACCATTCGAGACAAAAATTTGGAAAGCAAATAAACTTTACAAAACAAAACATAGTATTTTTGCATAATACTCAATATTCCAAGGAATGTGGGCTCTTTTAGATTTCTATATAGGCAGACCCTTACGTCGAATAGTTCAGTCATAATAATGATTATAAAAAAAAAGTGGTTCACCTATCCCCACTCTCCCCTATTATTTTCATGATCTACGTAAGGATACTAATTTGGAAATTTCGACGGGTTACACACCAGAGTTGGGGGCGTGATGGCATGGGGAGCCCTTTCTTATTATGGTAGCTCATAGCTGTGCCTACTACAATGAATATATTGGCGTACACATTTATATTGAAAGAAGCATTTTCGCAATTTCAAAACCTTTTTGGACTTTTGGCGAGTATTTATAAACCTTTTAACCATCTAACCGTACCTTGCACTCGCAGAAAGTACTTAGTTTCAAAAACGTAATTGAAGAAACTAAAAGAACATTAAACATATTTCTGATTCAAATATTGACAACAAGCTAGATTTACTATCCATGAATCTGTCAATGTATTTAATAAAACCAGACATATGTATGTATAGTTGAGTATGACGCTCCACAAAATTTGGTATCAATTCTTATAGAATATTTATATTGCTTTTCCTCGGCCCAATTTAAATCTTTTGCACAAAGGTGTGAGTTAACTTTACAATACGCAGACCCGATTGCACAGTAGCTCAAACGAACATTCGACATTAACAGAATTAGCTCTTTGCATAACAAAATTTAATTTTACCGTTTATTCCGAAATTATAAAAAGTGGTGCACAAGAATATAATAAGATCATTTATTCCACAACAAACCAAAACCCCTTTGACAAGTATATAAGATAGGGCACGAGAATATTCGTCAAATTTCGTCATAACGAAAACATAAAAGGATAAGAATATCACTGTTATGATCAAAGTAGGTCTTCGAGTCGTAGGTTCTTAACCCGGCCCACTGACACACGTAA